TACAGGGGAAATATAGCAGCACACACGTTTTATTTAGAAATATGGATGTGTGTGAATATCAAAGACACAAGTCCCAAGCGGCCACTTGGGGGAAGAACGGGTAGGAAACAGCTGCATTTTCTTGGTCTTTTAGTACTGTTTTACTCCCTAAATTTGTATATTATTATTTAAATAAAATTAAACTTAAATAATGAGGAAATCTACACAATGAAATACAAATTTTTTTAAATGAGGCAGAGAGGAGAACCAGGGTGGCAGGATCGGAGGGAACCCACGCGGCAAACACGCACCAGCCGTGCAGCCGCGTGTTCCTGTTTCTGGTTCCCCTCTCCCTCCCCCACAGCCAAAGGCCCAGCCACTGGGGCCGGCCGTGCCACAGAACATCCAGACCCAGAGAGCCTCGGGAGCCCAGTCCCACCTGGGGTACAGTCAGGGTCCTGAGGAATCTGGAACACAGAGGGTCACTCCAGAGAGACCCCGCCTCCAGCAGTGGCCACCCCCTGCCCAGACCTCCATGTGTCTACGCAGCCAAAAGGTAGCTCAGGTGACTGTGGGGCCCAGCCAGTGCCTCTCTGGAAGCAGCAGGCTCCTTCTGGGCAGGCAGAGCATGTCCTGTTACTCAACCGCCAGTGCATCTAGAACATCGCAGGTCCATAACTGTGCGTCACAGAAACGTCAGGGAGGCGGCAGGCGGCAGCCCCAAGGTCTGGCTCCATCAACACCTCACCCTTGTGAGCTGCAGCTGGCCAGGGCAGTGAGCCAGAGCTGCTCTCCCAACCAGGAGAACTTCCTCCCTCCGGTCCAGCACCTCCTGCGCTCCCACACCAGCACGCTCAACTTCCCAGAGGGAAGGGGGAGTGGGAGGGGACTACTGGCAGCGCCACCTGGGGCAGCCAGAGAACATCTACCCCACAAGAGCTGTTTTCCCCAATAAGGTATGTGAGGAAGCTTCCAAGCTCTCACAGGCAGCAGTCGGGGCCGTGCCTCTCACTGACGCCGCCACTCGGGCTGCGAGGCCCCTCTGAGGCTTGGGCCGTACCTACACGCAGTGTTGGTAGGAGCACGTGACTGTGGCCAGGAAAGAGCTCTGCCAACTGTAGGCCCAGGAGCATGAGCGAGACGTCTCTGCTCTGGAAGCAGGAAGGGAGGATGTGCCCCTGGCAACTCCTGTGCCCCATGAGAACTGGGACTTGGTGGAGGGGACACCTGATAGGAGGTGAAACAGGCTGCCTAATTTAGCACCAGGCTTCAAACACTGACAATAGCCAGTCCAGGACCCTGGAGATACCGAGGAAGGGAAGAAAGGGCTAATTTGGGAGGCCCCTGGGAGCTCTGGCTGGGTGGGAACTGCCACCTGCCCTAGTCTTGAGTGCTCAGAAAACCACGCTGAGAGGCGGCGCTAGAGACGGCACCTGTCTGTCCTCAGAAGAAGTTCTTGATCAGTGGAGTCACTATCTTCACCCACAGCTTCACCTGCCGACTTGGCTCCTCAAAGGTGGCGGAGGATACCACGCCCGACCTCAGGTAGAGCTGCTCTTGCTCCTGAGGAAGAGGACAGGAATAGTTAGGGGTCCCCTCCAACACCACACACCACGGCTTGGTCTGAGGCCCTCAGACCGGCCCGGAGAACAGCAACTTCGCACGTCTACTGACCCCGAGATTCGGCGGGGGCTCTGGCGGCAGGGGAGGCAGGCCCTGCAAGGCGCTGTGAAGCATTCCATAGAAAGCTAAGAAGCCCATGCTCCTGAAGACGTTCGAGACAAAAACACGCATGAAACTGAACTTCTCTAATTTAGAGCTGAAGAAATATAGCTAATGGGAAAAAGTATTTTAAATGTTCACCTTTACTAAATGAGGTGGCACAAACTAAAATAATGAGATATTTTTAAATAAGATAGTTTTTCTTCTATCAAATTGGCAGAAAGTTGTTTTGTCATATAATTATCCTGTGCTGATGGAGGCTTAGGAACAGGCACCCTCGTGCACTGTTGATACAAAGGGGACTGAACCCTCTTTCCAGAGAAC